GGGATGATGTATCTGAAACAGCTAAAGATTTAATACGTCATTTATTAGCTATTGATCCAGCTGAACGTTTTACAGCTGCACTAGCACTTCAACATCCATTTTTCAATGTTGAACGAACACGACGAAGAGATTTTATGGCTAAACGAACACTTAAAGCACATATTATACTTATTTGGTCAATACATCGTTTAAAAACATTACATTATAGACCACAACCTATACGTGGCAAAGAATTATTAGGTAAGAAGAAAAATTAATCTTTTTTTTATTTTTATCTTTGTATTTATTTATTTAGAAAACCCATACCGATTTAAATCTTATCGTAAAATGATTGATTCAACTGCTTTTCTTCTTTATGGACACTGGATAAAGAAAGATGAACATCGAAATCAAAATCGTGCTACATTATTTCAAACAGAAGAAAAATATGATCTTGTTCGTCATGAACAATTACTTGAACAACGACGTCTTCTTCGAGAACAATCAGAATCACTTCGTTTAAAACATCAAAATGAAATTCATGAAGAACAATCTCCACCAACACAAGTTAATGGGCATTGAATGATACATAGAAAAACAAAATACTTATTCATATATATATATATATATATTTATATTTATATATAGATAGACATTCGCTTTATTTCATTCTGTCTATGTGTTGACTTGTTTCTAAACTAGATCAACATATAGTGTTTCCAAACTATTCTTTTTGTCCATGTTTTCCTTTTTTTCTTTTTGTATACAGAGTTTTGTTTTCTTTTCAAATAAGACAGACGGTGACTTCTTTCAATAAGCACACGAAACATTTATTCAATATTTTCTTTTTCTTTTAATTCTAATAAAACAGAAACTTTTTATCACGTATTTTTTTTTCTTAGTAAATAAACTTTTAATGATTAAAAAAAAACATGTTTGAAAGAAAACACATGCCAACAGTCGATCATATGTATATTCATGTTGGGCGAAAGTTACATTGTTTGTTGAAGTTACTGAACATCAACAAAACAACAAATAATAATCAATTAATTGATATTATTATAAACAAAATATATAACAATAGTTTATTTTTCATTTTAAATAATATAGATTTAATTTCGATAAAAACAAATGACTATTCAAAAAACTTTTGGTATTATAAATTTTAGCTGTAAGATTCAGATAACATAATGCTCTGTTGTTTGATGAAATCGACCCTACAAGTAGAGTGCTTTAATTTAAAATAAATAAGAATTAAGTTGATAATGAATGTAAAAAATTATTTATGTATGACCATGATTAACTCTTTTTAAAATCTCAACTTGAGTCAAGATGTGCAAAAACCTGAGCTTAATTGATTTACAAATTTTAATTGTGTTTCAACACTACTCGTACACATCAATTCTGTACAAATAAAGACACTGATCCGAATTACAAAAAAAGAACATGTCAAGTTGGTATAGAAAATTTTATGAGATTATTATTAGTAGGTAAGAAAGTGATCTCAGAAAAAGAAAGACTTCATGAACTTCTTATTTTTATTTATTAGATTTTTTTGAATGTCGAGATTTATCTTTCGATAATATATGACACATCGTAACTAGGGTAATTCCATGATGGTCCACATATCTCAAGAAACACTTGAGCAATTACCCAAATACTTGATACTATCTGAACTCGTTGGATAGCTTCCGAACCCGATTGTAAACTGTTCATCTCGAACACTGATCCACAATTCGGGTTCAATGCATGTCTATGTAAGACCTTGAGAAAAGAACTCCAAGACGCTTCTGATTCTCAATTTATCTGAATAATGAAAACATTGTTCACTTATTTCTATAGAATTAAGTGTGTTTTATTTGAATGTACAATTAACTATAATTATATATTTTGTTTATAAAATCATCAATCGATTGATTAATATTTTTTATTTAGTTCATGTTTAGTAACTTCAATAAATAGTATAATTTCAGCATGAGATTTGCATTTATGTTCATTACTCATATTGATGCTTGAGCATAGAACGAGAAAAAAGTTATGCGTATGTACATCACGATCAACGTTTGTATTCAACTTCTACTTTAGTTCATAGCACGACTTGTAAGAAAAGCTATGTTTCTCTCAATCAGTAAGATGTCATTTCATTATTCTTAATTAAACTTAGTCATAAACGTTCGTTGTTGAAAATTCTTGATAAAAAATTCCATTATGAATTATATATTTGCATCAACCATTTTTATTTTCTTATTTCTATGATACTTATTACTATACAAAAATTTCCTTTTGTCTTGCATCACTCGAAGAAGTAAAATTAATCGCACGTTACCGTATACATTGTGCGATTCATATCCGTTTGTAAAGCTATCTAAAACTATACTACTGATACAAAATACTATAATGCTTAGAGAAAGTACTACATTGTCTTCTCTATTTTTGACACAGTTAGTTAAAGTTCATGAAATATTATAGAATATTTGTTATTTGAGTCATTCTTTCTTTTACCCATGTCACGTGTCATGCTCTGTTTTAAACGACTGCATCACAGCTATGATGTAGAATAGTTACTATGCATAATTATGACGTACTGACTGTAGAGAGCAGCGGGTCCAGGTTTTTATGGACCCGGACCCGGATCCGGGCTTGATATATTCGGGCTCGGACCCGTCCGGGTCCAGACCCGTTAAGTGTTTCGCCAATATCTAGCACCCTCTGTATATATGAACAAGTGAAGGCTCATGGTTTTAGCTGACTATTGGTTGCAAGAACAGTTGCCATCGACATCATCATCGACAACCAAAAAGATTCGAACTTNATACACTTCAAAGGGTTTCTCTAGGCTTGTCTTTATGAATATAAAGCTTGTACATGCCTTTATTATTGGTAAAGAAATCAGCTCGTTTGCCCGAACCGTAATGGAGATATTCAATTTTTTTTCGGTAAACCGACTTTTGCGCCACCTTGTATTACAAACAACAAACAAAAATGTGACCCATTTCAAGGTATTTGTTCTTGAAATACTCTTTATTTTAATGTGTAAAATTTAAAACAAATTAAGGAAGAAAGGTTTCTAAGTGTCAATTGGCTTTTGAGTCAAACCTATGTCTATCGTGTAGGTTCGGATGAATTTTGAATACCTTGACAAGAGATCTAGCTAATATCTTATTACTACTGAGATATTGTCTTTTTTATTAGAATGCTATGGGTCTCCTCAGGAACACTAGTAAAACTAATTATTGAATTTCGACTTGAAACTTTGCATAGAGACATGCTTTAAGGAGAATATCTTATGATGATAGTCTCAGTTCTTTCGGATGCATCTATTCTGAAATAAGAACATCGAAGTCAATCATTGTATATGAGTGGCGTGAACAATATGCTTTTACAATGAACTATTCTTATCAGGGTCTGTCTTTTGTGCAAAGTTTCAAGTCGAAATTCAAAACTCAGTTTTCCTGGTATTCCTGAAGGGAGAATATGGCATTCTGATAAAAAGTACAACATCTTAGTAATAATAAGCTATTAGTCCACAATTGCTTCAGGATATTCATAGCCCAACAGAACTTAAATAAAGTACATAGTCCTGACTCAAAAGTGATTTGACACTCAGAAATGTCCCCACGTAAGCTTCAAAACTTCGCGGAAAGTTGTGTGTAAGAAAAAGGAAAATATTTATAGTGAGTGTTTGAACGTTCTCTATGGATGATTCCTAAGTCGTTTATTACAAAAAGAATGATTTCTAGTTGATTGAGATCGAATAGATGCCTCAAGTTTAACTTCAAATGTTCGTCTGAGAAATATTTCGATACATCTTTATGCACAATATAAACAGACTACTTGATATTTTCAATTATTCTTTTATACTACGACATCATTTTGGATTCATATTTACATGTCTTTATCTGCTTCTTAGACTCATGAATAGAGATGTGCATAGGACCCGAAAACACTTTCTGGTCCCGGTCAAACATTGACCTGCTATTTCATCAGCTGCATTCTTAAATTATTCTGTAACGATGCATTGTATGGAGAAATTTTTGCTCTTTCTGCCTGTATGTTTTAAAATATTTTACAGATTCTCGTTATGAAATAATTTAGCAAGTATAATGACCGGGACCAAACTAATCCCGGTCTCGGTCCCAGTGTTAGTCCCGGTCGACTCTGACACCATTTTCTCCGGCTATAATAATCACATAGTGTTCGCGTTAGCCTTATATTGTAGAGAAAAGGTTTCTCTACAAAACGTAGTTTTCGAAACTTTATTATGCTTCGAGGCTATAGAGAGATTTTCAATTCTAACACCAGGACCAGAATTAGTCATGCACATGTCTACTCATGAATAATTACAACACAATAAAATTCTATTCATTTTGTACCAACTTTGTTTGTTTAAAGCAAATGTCACCATTATCAACTTGATAACTGTGGATCATATTGATAAAGGCGGCCTTTGGAATATTTCCGACAGCTAAAGTTTGTTTCTTCTTAGATTTTAGCAGTGATTGCGTAGCGCAAATAATTTCGAACCTTCCAAAGTTCATTCTACTCATTTTACAGTTAATGTTTCCTTTGTTTTTATTCTTCATATCTATTAGATCACGCTACATGTTACTTTTTTTTTGATGATTTCCTCCTCACCAATCGTCTCACGTCAAAGGAGTCCAACGCAGTATGCTTTTCTTTTCTTTCTGCCGCCTACGCTTGGAAAATTCCAACCATGATCAGCCACTATATAAGGCATTGGATTTTTTCAACATTCGAAGCTTCATACCGCGTTCCATTGTCCAAATGAAACTCAAATGTCATCTAGGCAGGCTCGATTTTCCGTTTTTATGCTTCAATGAACAGTTAATAAGGTCGTTTGAATAATAAAAATCTTCTCGAAATCTCCAAGTAACAAAAATGAATTTATTTATATATTAGATTTTTTTCAGATTTTACTATACAGCTAATATAAAATGTCAACCATCTCAGTCATACCGACAACTGATACCTTAAGTGATCAATCTCATAAATTCGATTCCATGAATGCTTCATCGAAATGCCCCGATAACAACAAAGAATATCCTTCATCTTTTACTAATATCTACAATCGACTTCAACCAATATTGAAATCAACAAAAAGACTAGGTGTTCACACTGCATGTCATATAATTTTCGCCGGATTTGAATATACAGGTAATGGGGATACAACGCGTTGTAAAGACTGTGGACTTGAGGTATCTAACTGGACATTAGATATGGATCCATTTGCTATTCATTCAAAACGTCGACCGGATTGCCCATTCGTTTGCAATATTAAACTATCTTCATTCAAAAATGTACCTGCTTCTTCCGCTTCGCCAGTAACTACTACTGTTCGAAACACGTCGATATTAAATGAACAAGAAAATCCTTCTAAACGCCAAAAGGTTGAAACAATGCATTTAGAATCTCTGTCACATACTTTGCTCGAAACAGTTTCACTTCAACAAGTACGAAGACGCACTTTTTCTCATTGGTCACATCGTACTATTCCATTAAGTGTACAAATGATTGACGCTGGATTTTTTAATTGCAATGTTGGTGATCGAGTAATATGCATTTATTGTAATCTTATTTGTCAACAATGGACACCAAATACAGATGATCCACGTGAAGTACATAAAACACTTTCACCTACTTGTATATATGCCAAAGCAAAACTGATACATCCTGTAGCTTCTCCTATAATTATTGTCAATGAAGGTTCAACAAGTGCAATTTCTGGCGATTATTCACCAACATCTAATAATCTCGGTCCATTGAGATCTAATGATATTGTATTTACAGCTTCATGTAATCCAGCTTATTCAGATATATCAAAACGTCATGCATCTTTTGAAACATGGCCAAATGAAGGTTTACCACCAGTAAATGATCTGGTTCGAGCAGGATTTTTTTATACAGGTGCAAAAACTATTGTTACTTGTTTTTATTGTAATGGATCATTACAAAACTGGGGTCCAAATGATAATCCAATGATTGAACATGCACGTTGGTTTCCACAATGTACATATGCTCGACAACTATGTGGTGAGGAATTATATCATAAAATTCAAGAATCTCAACGAGCACCACAAGGTATGTTTTGATAACTTTAAGGTAAAATTGATCTTTTTTTCTAGAACGTGCTAGAACCGTTAAAATAAACGAAAGAGCAGGTTCTCCTGGTATTTTTAATACTAATCTGACTACGAATAGTCAACAATTATTGATACTTAATAAACGTACTTTACTCAAACTTGTTGCTGCTCGATTAGATTTGCCAATGTCACAACGTTTATTAAATCAAAATTTTAAATTATCTATTATTAAGCGATGTTGGAAAGATCAATTACGAATAAAACGTGAATTAATAAATAAAATATTCTCTTTATTGTATTTTTTCAAAATTTCTCTTAGACGATGATTTTGCATCTGACTGTGATTTGTATATTGCTTGTTTAATTCGTCAAAAACAAATTGAATATATTGATGGTAGCGAAGAAAATATTATCATACCAAGTATAAAAATGAAACAAGTCAGAGAACAAAGCAGTGAGTTTCTTATAGATATATTCCCAATTTCTATTTTCTCGTTTTCTAGAAACACATGTGCTTGAACAAATATCATTTATACCTAGTGTAGCTCGAATATCATCAAATTCTACCAATGTTGAAATGACTTCATTGTTTCAATCATTAACAAATGAGTCTGCATCTTCTCAATCTTATATTGTTTCCATTTCAAGACCAGCAACCATTGGTAACGAATATGAAACACAATCAGCTGAACAAACGAGTACTGGTAATTATCAAAACCAATCAATTAATGCAGCGCCACCCGATCCCTGCGTTCTGTGCCTGAAAGAGGAAAAACGATTGGCTTGTATTCCATGTGGTCACATGACCACATGTACCGCATGTAGTCACTTATTACGATCGTGTTCAATATGTCGTCGAGAAATCGAAGCATTCGTTAGAATTTATGTGTAACGACAAATGGTGTTTATTTTATCAAATTAAAGTTGAGTAATTGCTGTTGATTGCCTGTTTAGCTATTATTGATTGTCAAATAAAACATACATGAAAAGCCATCCTTTTTCAAAAGTATTTAGAACGCAGATCAAATTTTATTTTTTAAATATTTTTTTGTTTCGTTTTTGAATTTTTATTGCTCTTGAATGTTATGTCAATTGATTATTTCTACAATAAGTATAAGAACAATTATTTCTATACTACTAATATCCATAGCAAATCGGTGACCTGTGCTAACACTTGTACTTATTTTGTTCATGTTTTTATTCTAAACTTATTGTATTATTGTATTCTGGTAGTACATGTTCATTGGATAGTTTTTATTTATTTTTAATAGGCACAAATAATAATTCAATAGTGTGCAAAAGGGATTCTATTTTTATTTGTAGAAATATATTGATTATAAATGCTTCGATATTTACCTTTTTTTCTTATGGATTGATTGAATTTCGTCTATCTGTGAATAGTGATTAACAAGACTTAGCATAATATAATTGTTTTTTGCCTTGAAACATTATGGAAATAATTTATTTTTGTGAGTATGATAATCGAAAGAAAAACTAAATAAGGTGTGTGTGGATATGAAATGAGATTCATAATAAAATACTTTAATTTTAGAATCTATTTTTGTTTTGCATATTTTCCAATATCTATCATCTCAAATTATATTCATCTCAATCGGTTTTTAACGTGAGATTTCAAAAGATTAACCATTCTAGCCAAGAGAATTCGACTAAGGAATAATTTACACAAGACATCCAGGAAAAAATCCTATTTTGTTGACTCATCCTATTTTTCTTTATTCAGTTTCAGCAACTTCCTCCTGGACGTCCAGTATAGAAAAAGCTTTCAGACAATGCCTGCTTATTCAAATGTACTGCTTCTTTTTTTTATTAAATAGCTGTTTATTAAATAACTATCTCAAAAGTACAGATGAATATATGCATATCAAAAACAAAAAAAGACAAAATACAGATTTTATAAAACCATCAACAAATATATAATCTGTGGTTAAGTTTTGATTTTTAAATACATTCGATTTTAATGAGCAGAAAATACGTCGAATAGAAGAAGAACATAAAGCGAAGATGCATGTATTTGAATGACACTGTCACATAATAACAATCGATAAATTTTACAGTTTACCTATGAACATGTTTGTTAGGCTTCAAAAAGTGATCAAGTTATTACACACTTTATTTGCACTGAAGTCGGTATATTTATAGGCTAGAGAGATCAACAAATACATGCATATAAATGAGATATAAATATCATGAAAGCGAAGCGAGATAGCGATTATAGAAATCTCGAGAACAGAACATGAACACATATAGAGATATAGAATGTATAGAATGAATATACAAGATCTACGATTAAATAATGAATACAGAGAGAACACACAGATCTATAGAAATATTGAATACTAGAGAGAAAATGCACTGCGACGATGAATACAATGATATTATGATCTAACCGAAGGTGAAGATCATGACAATGTTAACTCTGCTACGATTAATCACTTCTAGCCTTGATGCTGAACTTTCTTGATGGCATCAAAACAAACTATGCCACGATGCTCAGCATGATGGGAAATCTATGCTTGTTTGTGATGTGACTCTCGACTAGATAAAAAGCGCGTTAGACAGATAAAAAAACACGTTTTTAGAGGGTTTCAAACCTGCAAGAGATAGCTCATGATTGCGAGATCGGAAAAATGCGCGATTTCTGTGGTTTGATAGAGGAAGTTTAGTGTGATATACTGGCTTAATTAGAATTAAAAGTGCAATGGAAACGTCTGGAACAGAAAGTTATGAAAATCTACTTGTCTAGAAAACTACAGCTCTCTATCTTGTTCCTATTAAAAGTTATTCAAAAACTGCTAGTATGTATTTTGTTTTCGATGGGATAGTAGTAAAAATAGAAAAAATAAAAATAAAACATAAAGTTCAATACCTATGTCACTCCATAATATAACAAGGTTCATATTTCTGCTTCACAGAGTAACTATCTGCTCATGTAGCAATCTACAACTATTTCAAAACTAGATTCATATTCAATTGATTCGTATTCAGTTCATTTTCTATTGATCAATGCTCTTTAAAACAAACTAAGCTTAGAAATTTCACCGAAAGCCGTGTGACGAAAAAGGAACGCATAGTAAATGTCTGGGCGTCCAGAAATGCTTAACAGTCCTCTCCCAACTAACCAGTTTTGACGAACACCCCTCCCTTCTTTACTTGAATGTCCTTGATATATATCCGCTAACATGACTTCGATTTATTAATTAACTACGACTTATGAGGGAACCACTCCAACTGATACTTGTTGTTTGGGTCTAAATTAAGCCTACAAGGACGCCTTGGTAAAACTAGACAAAGTCTAATAGGGTTCATTTCCATGACCTTTTGAAGTCGAGTTAGCATCGTTTGATTGAATTATCGACTCAACTTTAGATATTTCTCCATTTACAGTCAAACGAAAAGCAAACTATACTAATATATAATTTCTATGACAGTGCTCCTTTAATAAGCTTTATTAAAATTCAAGACAAAACGTACGTAGAATTGTTAACTGTGATAAAACATTACTGTATATTTTTATCACATGAATTGACGGGAAAAAAATTTCAGTACAGATTATATATACTTCTATCGTGAGATATGTTATAATGGCTTACCTCGGATTCGTCTCCTTTTTAATTATTCCGAATTCGTCCCCCAAATTTCGATTCCGAATTGATTCCCATCAAAAAGTAGGTCTCAATTATTTTTTCTAAACTCGTCCCCAATGAAAAACCACTCTCCTGTTTTTTTTACCTAATTCGTCCCCACTTCATTTAACAGTCGGATTCGCATACTTTTGTATGTCTATATCAACAGCTAGTGGCACCAAGAGCCGGATTCGTTTCGTTAGATCCATTTCGTTGGATTCATTTCGTAGCCAATGGGAAGAATACTTATTGTGAGTCAATAAGAACAGTTGACTCATCAATAATTTTTTTATATATGTTTATCATCAATAATTATATTGAAAAATGCTACATTTTACTTCAACTGAACGGACAGGAAAGGTGTTAAACTATAAAGGTTTTCAATACACTGAAACGTGAACGAAAAACAGTAGTAGAGTGGCGATGTCGTTAACGAAATTGCTCAAGTACACTTTCTTTATCTCGTGATAATACTGTGATTGCTCGTGAACCAAGTGAACATATTTCATCTTGCTTATCTGCACCGAGTAAAATGGTTATGGATGAAGCACTGAATAAAATGAAAAAAGAGCAAGAGAAGAAAACAATATGATGATGTTGATCTTCTTCTACAAGATTTATTGAAACAGTTCTCTGATGGAGAAATACGTCAGATGGATTTAGCCATTAAATGTGGTTTAGCTGTTAAGGCTACTTATGTTAAATAATGGCTTCTATTTTGATTTTTTCATTTCTTCCATTTGTATAATTTTTTGTATTTTCTTATGCGGTGAAAAAAAAAGTTGATAATTTTTTCGTGATGTTATGATAAAAGATGTCTTTCTTTCTTAATAAAACTATACTAGGTAATACATTTCTTTAAAAATGAGGCGTTAATTTAATCAGGGGATGAATCTAGAAGGGGACGAATCCGTTAAAAAAATAGGGGGGACGAATTCGGAAGGTTTTCACGAGAGTAAAAATAAGCAGGGGACGAAATCGGAAACAATTAAAGAAAGACGAGTAAATGGGGGACGAATCAGGGGTAGTCCGTTATAATTGACTGATTTTTTTTCTTTCGATTCCATTATTATTCTTTTGTATAATTATCTTTGTTCAGCCAATTGATATTTTTCTCTAATTTAGATATAGTGATAATTTATCGTTGAGTTTTAGACTATCTACCATAAGACAAGAAGTCATGCAAATGGAAATAAAACTATAGTTAACGAAGAAAATATCTTCAATGTTTCTGTGCTTTCTATTTCATATTTCACTCATAGAATGAATCATAGTGTTTAAGAGCGAATTAGATTAATTTATATTAATCAAAGTAACATATAACAGATTTTTTATTTAAATTCATTCGATTTTGAATGACTTTTCATTCGTCTATCAATTCCACTTCGGCTGTGAATTCACATAGACAAGCGATGTTTTGTAAACAAAAACAAAAATGCAAATCAAACTTGTCAATATTTCGAGATTCCATCGTAAATAAATAACGAAAAAAAAATTTTTTTCGTTCTCCTTACATCTGCCTGGATGACGTCAATGTGTTTTTTTTGCTGGTTTTTTCCAACTTATGTTTAATGGGAGAAAAAAGCAGAAAAAAACTGGGTCATATATGCAACCTTAAATCAAATGGTGTGATGAAAAAATGCTATTTGTAAGTGACTAAGCTATAATGATATCAGCAAAATTCTGCTGAAGACAACTTTCAAAATTGTTCTAAGTCTCTAGTACATTTTCAAGTCTTGATGTTGATACAAAAAAAAATGTTAGTTTTGCTTTACTCTATCTTTCTATATATAAGTAATTAGATCCGAAATTTATTGAGCGATTGTTAAAGTAAAATGTTGAATCATCTATGTGACGTTTAAAATATCTTATCCAACTCCTACTATTATAATAGCTTGTCTACAATATATAATGAGTGATAGATGCACAAATTTGTTTTTGATAGCTTTCATATGTTTGTAATACTAATGTCCGCGCCAGAATTAAAGAGGGGTTGGTGTAAATTGAATAACTCAACAACAGCAACAGCAAGCGACCTGCGGTTTTCACCAATCGAAAGAGCAAACCGGGGGACGTATTTTTTCACGATATTGTTTCGGGCAAAATTGCTTTGGACACTATCATTTCTGAAAGTCTTTTCTGAGAAGACGTACNTACAAAACTCTCAAAAATAGATTTTGGCCAACCCTGTGGGGGAGTACGGGTGTGAGTCGAAAAACCGATTGAAAGATATTCCAAAATAAATCTTTGAAATATCATCGGGGGCCTCCATTGACTTGTTTTCAATACAAAAAACCGAAATATTTTTGGGGGCGGAAAAACGGCCTTAACGCCACTTGTCCTTTCTACAGAAATACATACTTTAGCATTTTCTTTAAGATAATTTCCATTTTCACAAAGAATATCATTAAGTGATGAAACCATTAACTGACTTTCTAATAATTTTTCACGAGCTTTTAATGCTTCTAATGTACTATCAAGTTCATTCTAGAGATCAAAAAAATACATAGAAACAATTTTGTTGAAAACTCTATTTCATACATCTGTTTTTTCCAACGTAGCATAATTATTTTGTGTTCGAGCAATATCAATATTGAGTTTTTCAATTTGTTTCAATGTATCTACTTTAATTCCTGTTTGTTTTTTAATTTCAGTTTTATACTGATTTGTAAAAAAGAAAGCAACAGTTCAATATATTATTCTATTCTATTATTTTAAATAAATCTTACTAATTCAATTTGTTCTTTATTTGAAGCTATTTCCTCTTGATAAAAATTTATTTCATTACTCATTTTTTTTGCATCAGCTCGTAGTGCGGCCTGAAAAAAGAACCAATGATTTGTATGAATAATAAATAATTATTATTTAGAATTGATTTACATCTTCTTTTTGAAGAACTTCAATTGAACCCATTGTTCGTTTAAATAAAAGTAAACAATCAGCTAATTGATTCAAATGCATAAGACGTTCTTCTTGATCTATTTTAGTAACAAAAATAGTAAAAAAAAAAAAAACTTAAAATTCTATAAATAAATTTCAACATACTCGACACTGTAAGCAGCCAAAGACCATAATGACCTTCATCTGCTTCAGCTTCATCATTTTCACAATCAGCAATTGTATGTAAAAAATTTCTATTGAATCAAAAACAATGAAAATAAAAATCAAGTTTTTTATTAGGAGAAAAAAAAAACATTGCTTACAAAAAACAAGCAGCTGCTTGAAGACGATCAATAGATGCTTGCTGTTGTGTAGTAAAAAAATCGCCAAAATAAGTACTTGTAAGTTCAAATGCTAAATCTTGTAATTTATCTGTCTAAATAAAATTTCATATGTTTTTATATTGAGAATAATAAATAAGAAAATCTACTTTTTCAATATCAACCCATGTATATTTCTTTTTCGAATCAGGTAATAATTGTCGAATTTTATCAACAAGTTGTTGTTCTCTATTAGATCCCATTGTTCTTTAAAAGAATGAATTCAAAAAAAAAAAAGAAGTTGATTGATCTGACAAGTTCAGTCTTTGTCCCGTGTCATTGACGAATTCAATTGGTTCGTTTGTTTTCCTTCTTCGATATTAAGACCGATGATAGTTATGCGTTAGTGACATCTTAAGCCGCAGATGTTCAAATGAAATAGTTTTCGTTAGAAACTTAAAGTTGATTTGAATAAAACAAAATATTACATGAAATAAGAAAATATCAGCAATCGATGAATATCAAATTCGAAATGAAACGGAAAAAGGTAGAGCGCAAAAGAATGGGATACCCTTTATTTCAATCTGTACTGCAACCATTTATATCTATTGCTTAAATTCATGTTGAACTTGTATGTGATCATCATGCACAATCAATTATTAAAACACAAAATATAAAATTTTCGAGTTCAATGTTTGCACAGTTTTGTATAGTGTCTAAAGAAACTATAAAAGATTAGATTTCTGACAGATAACTTAAATACACTTGAAAATACATCATGAATCATTGAACATGATGATTTTATGTCATTGATAGATAGATATATTCAGCATGATAAGCGATAAAATTTATATAAATAGAATCTGAAAGATAGCATTTAGAAAGACTACGCGCAAGATTTAATGATTTGTAGGTTAAGAGAATTAGTCAGAACGGTAGATATTTTATTGACGGACTAAATTAGTTATTCATTAAATATAAATAAAAACCAGAGGCGACATTTTGTTTTGTCAATATATGTTGGAATATGTACATTGCGACTATATGACATAGTGACAAGTTCTGAGCTTACATTGATGCATAAAATGATTGGTGACGACGCATATTGATTTATTGTCTAATGAAGACAGGATCAAAAGTTATATGTATATATTTCTTTCTTCGACTATTATATTAATGTTAAGTACGAAATACATGTCTTTTTTTTTGTTTGAGATATCTTCCAAATGTTTTATTGTCTTGATGTAGTTCAGCCGATTTCATCTGCTGTTGATATATGGATTTACTTGATCAAACAAAATCTAGTTCATAATCGATCACTAGAAATGTGATGGTGTCAGTATGCTAATCATTGGTGACATTGATGCATGCGATACTGATTTCCATAGACTACCATTCATATACAAAATACTTCAAAACCTTTCGGATGAAATTCGTTGACAAAGATTTCTCATTTAATTTGGGGTTCTTGATAACATCCCTTCTAATTGTTTTGAATAAACACAAATAGATAGTCAATGAATGTTAGTTTCCATTTATTTTCACTATGCATTTAGTGATGTTGTATAATGTGCAACTTTTTTCAAATGATACTGAAAGAAAGAAATTAAAGCTTCGTATAGAGCTGTCTGCCAGGTGACCCTTTGAACTAAATGCTACGTACTATCACTATTGCAGAATGCCACATCAGGCTATACGTCTTCTTTCGATGAAGGTGACAGAATTATACAGCCAGGATAAAAAAAAATCTGCAAATCTATACATAATTTGGGTCTAAATTAAAACATAGTTGCTAGATTTTCATTGTAGTCTATAATAAAAGTCTGAGAACGATGAAATCAATGACCAGAAATGACGAACCACTGCACTAAGCTTCAGCGTATTTCGCCGCAATTCGTCATTCCGTTTGATGGGTTGTTTTTTTCACGAACACAAATGATCATTGTTTCTCCCATTATTTCATTATTTTATGATATTATGAAAAATGGCCTTGCAATACCACCAGTTCTTGTCATTTTCTTGGACTTAAAACCTTGAGTCGTTTTAAAATAAAATTATTTTTGGTTTTATAAGTAGTTTTAATTAGCATTTCTTTTGAAGGTTTCGGTGAAGAGAGAAATTGTGTATAAGATATCAAATGAATGGAAGAAAATAAATATTTATTAGGAGGACTTTCGATTAAAAGATGGTATTGATGTATTAAGACTAGAAAAAGTGATATATTTTCGTGAAGTTACAATTGTTTAGAAAAATTATAGATTGTCCAAATTTATAGTATTTCGTTGAACTATACATCTATTCATTGTACGGCTTTTTGTTAATAATTATAAAAAAAAGCACAAACAGCAGATACTGAAGTAAAGTCGGTACTTCAATGAACTTTAATATCAGTATTTAGTACCCGTGATGTGATTGTCTGTTTCAGTGTCGACATCTGCACTACATGTTCTTGTCGATCATCACTTAACAGTCGGTATATTATTTTGAAAACAGCTCGGTCTTACAGACTTAAACTAAAAATAGTTTTCGTAGTGACGTTTATTGATCTCTTCAAATGCGTCAGAATTTCTAATTTTTTCACATTAAATATGTTTATTAATGATATAGTAAGCACAATAATAATAAAAATTACATGAATTGGACACATATCCTTATGCTGTTTTTCTATTAGATTGATTTGAAACTAGTGCTACTTAACATTACAGATAATGATGATGAATTAGACGACACAGTTCATTCATCTAAATGTGATTTTTTATTTAATTTTAAGTAGACAAGTTATGTGAAATATTTTGTACACATGAAAGATTTGAACATAAACATGATTTATCTCCAGTATGTAAACGACGATGAGTTTTTGCATTTGATTTTAGTGGAAATTGTTTTGAATTGCATGAACATAAATGCAGTCACTTATCTTTTAAAATATAAAAAAAAGAAGGAAAAAAAAGCTTCATTTCATTATTTATCTAAATGAACAAGTGGATGCTTTTGTGAAAATGAGCAACTTTTGTAAATGATTTCGGACATTATATGCGTACAAATGGTCTTTCATTTGTATGTGTTTTCTTTTCGTAATGGATATGGTAAAGATTCATATGACCACGACCATGAACTACAGTTGTATCGTCTTAGTGTTGTTTCAAATCTAGATTGAAAAGTTCAACAATGAAATTCAAAATAAATTTTTTTTTATCGTCATGACCAACAGATACAATGTTAATTTAGAATACAGAAACAATTGTTGATATTATCAGTTGGCAGAAGGAATAATTGTTCGATTTAAATGTCAAAAGAATAGTTTATAAAATTTCAAACTCAAGAATTTTCTCCATTCATTGCTACAAGAGACAATTACATTAGATTAGAAATGGATTTCTCTCATGGAAAGTATCTTAATATTAAGAGGAAATCAAATGCATTGAATCAAAAAAAGAATTTATTAACTTTGTATACTAAACATGTGATAAAATTCCTATTTTTCAAGATTCTTAGAATAGACAAAGGTTAGTGAGTAATCATAAAACATCTCTCTTACATTTAAAAAGTCGCAATCAAATTGTTTTCATCATCAATGAACTAATCCTGTTTCATCGCAATGTTAAATAACTATTAGTTATAAAAATTTCAAAATCAACTATACTTATATCACGTTCATCATCATGTTATTAATCAAGAAAAACTTTTTTCATTTTCTCGCGTATTATTATTGCATTTGAAATCTTATGAACACAGCTGATTTGAATTTACTTTACTCATCTAATTTCTATTTTACAACCATAGATAAATAAATGAAAAAGACATGACATGATAATACCCAAGAAAAGTGACAATACGATGAACTATATTTAACATCTGCGTCAGTTGTTTCTCAAAGATAGCTGACGTTATTAATTTAAAGAAGTATGTTAGTTATGCGTTATTTGTGAGAGTTATATTTGATGAAAAGCGACGTAATATTTTCTTTTGAATTAATTGAGTCAATTTCCGTCTGAATAATGATGATGATAAAGTATAGACAAAAAATGTTAATGAGAATTCAAGATAAATAAAAAAATAACTTATATTACTAACAAATAATTCGACTGTTAAACGAAGAGATGATTTCGTATCATTTATTGTTATTGTTTGGTAAAGAAGGTAGCAAGGATTGAGAATGTTCAAAATAATCCAAAGACATATTTGATTAAATAACATTTTAGAAAATTGTAAATCTTTTCTTGACATTACTGTAGATTGTCTATGTCCAACAACATCAGCTACTGTTAATGGTCTTGTTCTTCGTTTGCTTTTTCGAATGTTATTTAGTGTCAGAAATTCAAAAATGAGCATCATCAATGGTGGAAATATTCCACTTTCAATCAATAGATAGACACTGAAGAAAATAGCATAAACACCATTTCTAAATGAGCAATCATCATTGTGAATTTCATAGAAAACAAGAACTTGAATGTACATTAAACACCAAAATAAAAAACTACCAACAATTAATCGTATAGCGATCTTCGATGAACTCCATTGACGGCAATAAATATCAGAAGAACTAGCAAAATAACGATCGACCGATGCCAAAATTATATAATAACGTGGAACAGCAACAGAAATATAGAAAAAATAATAGCGAATTTTACAATACCAAAGTAAAGTATTAACTGCTTGAATATTGTAACCAATGTAAAGTATTCTTGTGAGAAGAGCAAAATTGAAAGTTAAAAATTGAGCAGCACTAGAAGCTAGCAAATACATAACACATGGATTCTTACGAAGACTTCGTTGACTAAAGACAAAACAATTGACTATTGATCCAAAATTACCAATAAGCCAGACAAGAATCATACCATATCTTGTGATATTCTGATTGAGGACAATAATAATTGTATACCAATAGGCCTCATGATGAGAAATAATAGAATCGGTGATGTTTGACATTTGCAATGAATATGTTTATAAAATCTTGACAACAAACAAACATTAAGCAAGTCAATCTAAAGAATTTTTCGAGTTCTAATTCTTTTGATATTTTTTCTATAAAAAAAATGTGCTATTCTATAGAAAGAGAATTAATCTCATCTTAGAGACATTGATATACTTTAGACAAGATGTGGAGCATGATAAAGTATCTAAGACATAAATTTACTCTTCAGATGTTGCAATCTTTGTCAAAGTAACGTATTTATCAAGTTAATGAGATAACTGATAAAGAGAGAATAATTCTTATATTTACATTTGATAACTGTTGTAAAGGGCAGAAATTTTTTCAACAAATCTGGAGTTTTACTGCTGAAACTTGTAAATAAAAATTTGATTTTGCGAAAAAAATATTTACGAATTTACTTTTAACTAGATGTATGATACAATAATGTACGAGAATAATGCATTTTAGTTTAATAAAAAGACGAAATAACTAAAGATAATGGGCACTATATATTTAATATATTCAGTCAGTCGGTATCTAGAATCTTATTCATGTTTTTGAGGAATATTTATCAAAAGAACTAATACTTATCCTTGTGAAAAACATTGGCATTCAAACGTGGGCAATGAGTCTTCATTGAGATATAATTTAAATATATAATTCTCTGTGCGTAAATGAAAATCATGACTAGATTTCTACAATGAAAACGCGCGTTATTTAAATTCTGAAACAATTTGTACACTGAAGTGTTGTTAACTCTAAGTGCAATTATTAAAAGATCTTATAGAATAAAATCATCCACTATAAATAATTGTTTCAATTTCTCTTCTTATAATTGTGCACATCATGCAATATTTTTCTAGTTTGATTGCCATCTATTTTAAAAACAACAGTGAGTAGAACTACATACAAACAGATTCCGAAATAAGTAAGTATTCTAAGATCAAAGTCAAAATGAGAATGACAAATAGTCATTTTAAAATTCATAATCAAGAAAATTCTGTTAGCAGCTATCAACATGTTTTTAATGAAGACTATTAACTGAACACTTAATTCTCTTTCTGATTCACTATCTATCATTAGCTTTATTTATAGCTGTCTGAGCTATGAACAAAGAGAGCGACGACTAACTTTTGTTGGTTTCTTCTCTATAATTTCTTGGGAAGTTTGAAAAGGATGGTATTGGTTGAGTCGCCATACTTGCACTTTACGTTTGAACAAATATGTTGTGAGTTTCTATTCTTAAAACTACCAAGTCACACAACGATAACTTTTGATGTGAACATCGTAATAAATGCTATGCTTAGCTCAAGGCACTACAAAGATGTCATAGATAATTTCAATTAAAAGTCATAAATAAAGGCATTTCATTAATTTTCAAGATAATCATGAATATGCGCATGACGTGTCATTCTCGTCTCATTCCATCAAGAAGAAAGATGGCAACAAAACTTTACATAATTCCAATTAGGTGAACAGTTTTATAGTCTTTTTTTATAAACCTGTATATGATTCAGCTGTCATAAAAGACAATTGTGTCAAGCAATTAATATTGAAATAAAAGTCAGAAAAGTGTATATTGTTTGTTTATTTTAAGGAATGAAAGGTATATAATTCTTGATGTTTCAAGCTAAAATAGAATTTATTTATGTCACAAATAGAACAAAGAATAATACTACCTATTAAATTGTTTCATTACATAAAAAGTATATCAGATCAAGTCAAAAAAACGTGTGATTCGATAATATTTATTCATGTAATCAGCTTATGTCAATAAAAGTCAGAATAAAATGAGATTTTAACTGCAAAAAATTTAATTTAATAGAGTAATGTCAGTTAGTTCTGTCGATTTATATAGATCTGATGTTGAATATACCACAAATGCGTTTACTTGTTGTTTTTAAAATAGAACATAATTTTGTAAAGTCATCTTGAGTAGCTATTGCCAGAGTTCTTAGGTAAGATGCAACTAAAATTTCATTTAAAATTTCCTACATGCTACTTGTATTATTTTCTGAACCAGAAAGGTTTTTATAGTATCATCATGATTTCCTTCATGGTTATATCAAACTGTATATGACAATCAATAAAAAATCGAACCTACTTATTTTGACTATGAGATGAAAGAAATATTTGGCATTCACGATTATAGAGTGGCATAAAATTTTATATAATCAAATGAAGTTAAAGCAAAATAAGCACAAGACGTATTAAATACTATTTAAAATTGCTGAAATATCAACAATAGCAATGTATTCTTTTGAGAATTGGATTTCAATTTCCGTCTTCATAATAGATTGATCATGTCATATAGGAAAGTAATGAAAATATCTAAATGATGCTGTTGGTAAGATTTCATTTTGGTTATAAATTTTTCCGTGTGAATTTGTTGTTTTGCATCTCCGTGAATATAGTTTTTTTTGGCATTTTCATATACTGTTCCTTCCTCGTTCTGGAATTGATCTAAAGTGTAATATAGGACTCTTTCATATTCAATCAAATTTTTTGTAACATGATTGAGATCAATAGTTGATGATACATGGAAACGACTAAAAGTTGCACAAGTTTTTGTGACAATATGACGGCTTGCTGTAGTATTATGTGTTGAACAAACTATAAATTTAAAATGGAATATAAGTGGAATTACTGCAATATAATTCAATGCCATATGATCATTATGATTTGAACTAATATCTGTATGGAAGAATGAAGATTTTCCAAATGTAAGAGACCAATCGAGCTGATATTTTTTTGTGTGAATAGGATGCAATGAGAATAGTAGAAATCTAAAAGAATTCGTGTTCATAACACATTCAATTGGATTTCTAGTCAATTTACTGTGTTTCCGTCCTGTAAGCGTATTGTTTATAAAAGATCGCCTTGCGAGCTTCTAAACTGAAACCTAGCCCATAGACAGATCTCAAGACTATCAAAATGTTCTTAAAACTTTAGCTCAAACAAATGTTTTTTTCCTTGAAATATTGAATATCCTGATAATGATTTAACCTCATTGGAAAGACGTTCAAAGTGGACTTTTCTTGAGCATTTAATATCTCAAGAAGAAAACATTCTATTTAGCCGAGTTTATCGAAAAATTGTCGTGGCTAAAACGTTTGTTACCGGCAAATTTGCAGTGTAACTACACTTAGGACCGTCTTTCCTTCATGTTATTATCAAAGAACAAAATTTCACTAAAGTAGTCATAAATTCAGATATATATGACATGAAGACGAATCCTTTTATGCTTTCTATTGAGTGACAAATTATCAACTTGACCGATGCGTTACACTTGTAAACGTGTCATAGTACGTCTATCTATCGGCAAGTACTTGTTTTACTGGATGAAGTACATGAAGTATGTTGGGGAGTCTATAGCAAACAGCCCACTCTTTCGAATCTACTTTGACGAGTATTTTAGTGATACATAATCAGTAGTTTCGATTGATGAATCAAATTTTAACTCTCTGGCTGTATGACAATTCATAGAAATTCAGCAAGTCTTTCAAACATCTGTCATCCGGATAAGTACATATAGCTATTGATATTTGTTCATTTTTGTACCTTAAGAAAAGGAAATAAATATCAAATATCAGTGCACAATTATGAACCATATTGTTGACACTGTCATTATAACATACTGTAAACTATTTGTCAATTTGTGAAGTTCTATTTAATTATATATATTTCTTGGGATCCGGCAAGGTGCCCACGAGGAAATTTGCGTACGGAAAGGTGCGCACGGAAACTTGCGCACGAAGAAACTTGTGCATGGAAAGAAGCGCACGGATGCCTTGAGCATGAAACATCAGACTATTAGTTGTGCATGAACAATGATTAGAAAGGTGAAGAAAAGAGACAAAATATCTAGCTTTGTTAAATTCAAGCTCAATATACTCATTCTTGCGATAAATAATAAATGGAACATGGTCTAATTCAAAAATTTTAAAATTGTAACTAATAGACGTTTGGGTGTGGGTGTGAGTGCGAGTGTGGATGTGGGTGTGGGTGTGGATATGTTGATCAAGAATGGAATCACTAAATAGTGACATTGTATTTGTACAGTAGTGAACATTAGCTCTTTTTCTTATACTGTACTTCTAATTATTAATATTGCAATTAATCACTTCAAAAATAAATTATTTCTGCTATTTTGTTCAATTGACTTTTATTGATATGAAAACAAGAAATCAATATTACGTACGCAAGATTCCCGTGCGCAATTTTCCTCGTGCGCTTCTTTCCTAGACCCATATTCCTTTAATAAATCTACACTACCATACAACAAAACAAAAATTTATCTTTGATGAATCCTATGGTACTAAATAGATAAGATTTCAAAGATCGGTTTTTGCTGCCATCTGCTATTGAAATATGTCGTATAACCGATTTCTTCTTTTACGATTTAAATTTTGGAATTTGACAAAATTAGAGAAGTAAACTGTTTGCACTGCACAGAGTTGGTCGAGTCAAGTTGTTTTAATCAATTTTCTTGTTTTCTGTTTGTGTTTATAATTAAGAACATTAACAACAAGCTTTTCATGACACGATATCTTGTTCTTAATTTTTATGCATAAAAACAGAATAAGAATAGTTCTGCATAAAATAAAATTGCACAATTACTATAGCCTTATCAACAAAGTAAGAGCAGTATAATCAAGTCTTCTCTTTCATACTTTTCCACAAGACAATATTTCATAAATAAGAGCATAAAGTTAAAGTTGTTTATAAGCAAAAAATATTTATTAACATTTAAACCAAGGTCTTACTGTATATTTCAAAGATGTTAAAAAGCAAATAGTAGCTGGCGAAAAAAAAATAGAACAATGTGATCTCATTAAAATACCGCTTCAGAAAACATCCGTTCAACTAATGTTGATGTAGCAAGAACATGCATGATCTTTTTTAGCAAGCTTATTAAAGGATTGATATGAATTTCGTCTTTTGGAAAATAAAATCATTAGTTAAATTTTCTTCCTGCAGAAAACCTTGATTTCTTCTGAAATTGGTTTTGGTGTTGAATGATCAACTTTTGCTTTTTAGAATAAATAACTCGAGTCAATGGCTTCTAGATTTAGAGTCAGACTCTTTAAACAAATATGACTAGGATCCGAGTCATAACTCGCACTTCCCAATTTTTGGTCTGCATGTTTCAATGTTAATGCTGATTGGTGTTTTTGTCACCAGTTTTTTTCATAATACTTTTTGAATCTCGAATGTACACCTACCGGTCGATTTTCTGTCACGTGAGGATTAAAAGTAATTCTGAGATTAAACAATTCATCTAAAAATGATCATTATACTGTTGAATAAAAGCCAGTGAACGGGAAATACACTCGTTAAAAAAAGAAGAAAACATTGTACTACTGTTTTACTTTTTTATCAAAACTATGAAATAAAACTGACAAATTTGATTGAAATCTTAGATTTTTCATTCTGCTGTATCCATAAGTTTCTTACAGCCTTGAACTTTGAGATGTAACTTTGATCATTTATTTAATTCATTGTGATAAACTACGACCGAGAATATGAGCATCAGCAAATTTCTCGTGCATGAAAAAAATAAAAAGTAGTATCAATGTGTCATGCGAGATTATAACGTGTATTTTATCTCACAATTAAGCTCTAAATAAAGATAATATATATTATTTTAGTTTTAATCTTGGATGCTATGAAAATAACTTCGACCTAATTTTAAATTGTGTTTTATGGAAATTATTTTGTTCAGTTAACGCCACATCATGAATACATACTATAAACATACACGATTAGTTTTATGCAGTTGAGATTTATTGAAACTTGAGTCCCAATTATTTATTTTGGCACGTAAACAAAATTCTTTCCGACTATAATTTCAAGTGTTTTTAACCAATTTTACTAACCTCTTGTATGTTTTGTAGTTATTCGACATATACGCGGAAAAGTCGCATTTTCATGGATTTGGAACGGTTCTCATCTATCTCGATCATAAGAATAGTGTTAGTTGGAAAACATGTATTTATTTTCTCGTCACATACAACATAGTAAAACGCACTACTTATCATCTTAAAAATCGAAAGTTTTTTCCCTCATTTTTTTTCAAAACGATGCAACAGTGTTACAATATACTCATATAAATGTAGTTAAAAAAATTTAATTTGTTCTCCTTATATACATACTTCTTTAAGCTTGACTAATAACTAGTGTGAAAGTTTTTTTAACAACTTTTCATAGAAACACATAAGAGAGCTGCGGCTTTCATTTTCAGAAAGAGAAAATCAAGATTCATCGAATCGTATAGTGCAAGTGTTTTCAAGCAGATTTTTGTTAAAGTTTCCGATCGACTTTTTTGGGAATAAACGTGCTCTGTAAGCGGAATAAAGTGAATATTTCAATTATAAGGTGAGCATCCAAATTTCTAATGAAAAATTTACAAAACTATGCAACCCTGAGTTTTTTTTTAAATCAAGTTATTCAGGAATCCTAGGTATTCCAGTTAAAATTTTCGACAAATTTTTTCACCAATTGCTATGAGAAACATTTCACTTTTGCTTTTGTCTTATGTTCAAAGGAACTATTTTCTCGACACTATTAAAATAAATTTCAATAAAAAGAAACTTCAGAAAAGATCTTAGGAGACTCTATAATATATGGGTCAATACAACTTCATCTTCTCTTTCCAATGATGAAAATCGTAGCGCTCTATCTTGTTTCTATCAAAAGCTATTCAAAAAAATACATAATAGAGAAGTAAATATGATTTTAGTATAACAGATCTGATCAATGTAAAATTATACCTGAAATATATTTCAAGATTATTAAATAAGAAATAGTCAATTACGTTATTATAACATTCACAAATAACTGACAATCATGCTTTTTGTTTTGATTGTAATACATCTGTGCTGAATGATTTTTACTTAAGTTCTTTTGAAGATATTGATGGTTGTCTACTAGTGTCATCTATAGAAAAAAAATTTTTATCAGTCAAACATCTATATTCTCAAACATGTTAAAACCCTTCAGTTGTTTATACTATTTCTAAAATAACAATTGTTAACGGTTTTTTTTTATTTGAATAAATCCATTAGTATCCACAGTCTACATATATCTCACACCCTGTTTACTCACCAACGGTCAACTTCTTTACTCACTCATTCAGTTATTTGACTTCATTAATTTAATAGATTTCTAACTATGGACAATTCTTTATCGACACCACGTAAAAATGAACTTGTTGAAACTATGTTCAAATCACTTAATTCATATACAAGTGAATTACAACAAGGTATGTTTATTATTTATCTTTATTTTATTTAATAAAAGCTAAATTTAATTTCATATAAGAATTAGAAATACTCAATCGAAAAGTTGCTGATCAAACTCGAACTGAACAAACGTACGATACATGTCAAAAGCAACGTATGAGTTATTTAATGTGTTTTTTTTGTCTATCGAGGTTTTTTTATATTTTCAGTTCAAGATGATTTGATCCAATTACGTGCAGCTATTGAAACCAATACTGGTATGATAATCATTTTTTCCCTTATTTTTTTCTTTCAGGCAATTTTTCTTTTATCTATCAGTCAAACGATCAATACTTGATCGTAATTTGAGCGAACGAACAGCCATGTCTCAATCGTATGATTAGAATTTGAATAAAAAAAAAAACTTTGAAAATTGCATGCTATAGGAGTGCTTTTTTTTTCGTTTATTAAAAGATAAAATAAATCAGTTAAGAATTATTTTTATTGAACTTTAGGTTACATTCTCAAATTGTCGAAAAACGTCAAGAACAAAATATGATTATTGATAAATCAAATACAGCTAAATATAATCATCATCGAAATATGTTAGAAGAAAACTTTTATCATTATTTTGAAAATTTAAATCGGATTATTTTTAGTACTAAAATAACTGAACAATGTGCCAATTTAACAATGGCTTTTCGAACGAATTATCATGCTTATGTAAGATTCGCTTATTTGATATTTTTTTTATGAAAACAATTGTTTTATGTTTTTAGGCTCGAGCAGATCTTGATGAAATTCGAAAAAAAACTGAAACTCGTTTGAAGACAATTTCTGATGAAGGTATTTATTTAAGGTGCTGATATTTCGAAAGGTTTCTTTTTGTTATGGTTAGATGCAACTAGTCGAATTACCTATCAAAATCTTATTTTTAACATATTACACTAAGAAAAATTCGGCGGAAAAAAGTTCGAAAGTGGATAAAAATTGAAAATCATCAAGTTTCAATATTTATTCGAATTTTTCTTTTGATTTCACTCGTCATACACATAGGAAAAATATTGTTTGATTGTTAAAAGAAGATTGATTTTTTCCATAAGATATCAAAACTCCATTAAAAACAGTTTTATATTTAATGGTCATCACCATCAGAAGTTCATTTCCAAATGAAATAAATATCGTACTGAGAACTAATTTTCGGACTCTGTTAACGGAAAAATTTCAGATCCGGTTCCGAGACCAATCCGACGGACTCTCCTATTCACTGTTATTTTCGAGTACCTTCACGTATACTTCCCGTACGGTCGAAATTTGATGAAAATTAGTTTTGAGTATATTAATCGATGGAAATTTTTGTGTTGATTCTAAATATGATATTTGTTTCATTTGAAACTGAACTTGTGGTGGCCATAATGATTGAATATGAAACTATTTTTATGGCGCTTTTCTATCTTATCGAAAAAATCGACTTTCTTATCAATTAAACAATATTTTTTTCCGAAGCTTATGACTAAGGAAATCAATAGAAAACTTCAGATAAATATTGTAACTTGATGGTTTTCAATTTTTAAAGATATTTCGGATTTTCTTAAACTTTATTTTCCTTAGTTTATTATGTCAAAAACATGATTTCATGGGTAACTCGACGAGTTCTATTCAACCATGATAGAAAAAACAAATGTTACTGAAATTTTCAAATTATCGACATTTTATTTAAAATAAAAATTCTAACAATTTACTTTTTTAGTGGCTAATACTGAACTAACTGTTGTTAATACTAAAGATAAAATTATTGAATTAAATAAAAAGCTTGATCGAGAAATAATTCATTTTAATTATTTAAAAGAATCAATTGAAATAATTGCGTATGAAAATGAATTTTTCTAAAAAAACGTTTTCTAAAAATCAAAATTTCTATAATATAGAAAAAAACTTCAAGTAGATTATGAAGATATAATTAATTTTGATAATCTTGAAAAACAATTAACTGATATACAAACATCAATCAATGAATTAGAAGCTTGGCATATTCGAACAGGTAATTAAAAATTAAAGTCAACATATTTTATTTTAAAAAAAATTTTTCTTTTTAGATTATCCATCACAAGAACAATAATCATATTTTGTTTTTTTTGATGATAAATAAAACTTAGTTTTAGATAAATAATTAGGACATTTCTAACATGTTGTTTTCGTTTATTTTTGTTTTTTTGATTTGAACAAAAAAAAAAAAAAAAAAAACTTAACCATGGCTCATACTTCGGATGAAATGCGGCAATACCGTGAAGCATTTTCATTATTTGATAAGGATCATGATGATATAATAGCACCACAAGAACTTGGTATTTACAAGAAAAAAAATTCTATTTAAAAGATAATTTTTTTATCAAAATTCAAATTTAGGTATCGTTCTTCGTTCATGTGGTTTATCACCATCTGAAGCTGATTTACAAAAAATTCAACAACAAGTTGGTAGAAAAATTGATTTCGATACATTTGTACGAGTAGCACAAACATTTAAAGCAAATAATCGTGAAACAGAAGATGATATACGTGAAGCATTTCGTGTTTTTGATAAAGATGGAACTGGTTATGTTAGTGTTGCTGAACTTAAACATGCAATGATATCATTAGGTGAAAGACTTTCAGAAGAAGAAGTTGATGAATTAATACGTGAAGCTGATATTGATGCTGATGGACGGTAAATAATAGAAGATTTTCTTTTATAAATTTTTTTTATCTGGAAGTTTTTCTCTTCTTGTTTTCTAGTTGCAATTGTGAAGATCTTGTACGAATTTTAACAAATAAACAACGTTGAAACGTTTTCTTTTCTTTACATATTACGAATGAACAGAAATAGATACATTCCATTTAATCGCTTTGTTTTTTTTTGTCTTATTTATAATTCGTATGCATTCCTTTTGCTTTTTATGTTTTATTAACATTGACTATAATTCTATATGGTTCTTTTTAACTTATATATTTGTTACTATTTATTCACTTTGAATGATATAAAGAAATGAATACATTCTTTTTTTTCCTATTCCGTCATATAATTCTTTATTTGATTTACAGATGATAATTGTGCATTAAGGAAAAAAATGTTATCGAAAAATTTGTTTCGGTGAGTTTAGTTGTTTTTTCTTAGTTGAATGTAATTAAAGTTATTTTATTAGATTTGTTAATAATTTATGTAATAGAAAATATCAACAAATATTTTCTTGTCATGCTAGTACGGTATGTGAGAAGAAGGAGAAATTAATAATGATTATTTTATTATCTTGTAATGATAGATATCGAAAATAGATGGAAATACAAATGACCTTAAAACTGAACAAAAAGAAAAGACTATTCCAAAAGATGAACTTTTTTCATTTATTGTTCGATGTATGATGAAAGTTGGTACACGTCCATCACATGCTGAAGTATTGGCAGATAATTTAACTATGGCTGATTATCGTGGTAAATAATATAAGATATTTATTATTAAAACTAGATTTCGTAAGGATTATTTATTTGTTGCCGGTGGTATAAAATAAAACATAGTAACATATGTCAATAATGAAATAAAGTTAAATTTGATCTACTTTTGAAAAAAAGATTCTCCCAGAGACGTCTAATTATGTCGACCGAATTTTTTTTCCTAGCGATTAAATCAATGAGGACTCTTTTGGTTCGTCTCGAATATGTGTTGTCCTTGAGATATCAACACGTCTATGACATCACTAGTTGAAAAAGAGAACGAATGGTCTTGACTTGTACCTGTCATATCAACTACGTACATAGTTTTATCTATTTCTTGAGGTGCGAAGTGTCGAAAATTGCAATTCAAATTTTATCTAAATGTTCTATATCACACGTTTGCTCACGCACTTTCACCGATGTACTGTGGTATTCATAAGAATGGACCATTTACCAGTGGCAGTGCTTACGAGTTTCGGTTCCAGCTATAAACGATTGCAAAGAGTGTTTTATATTGAACTTTGAATTAATTATTAGAAAGAATTTAAATTAAACCAGAAGAAAACAGTTTTAGAATACACTTTATTAATAAAATTGTTGCAGTGCCATCTATATTAACAATTTATCTCGTAACTTGGGCCGATCTGGGCTCCATGGATAGTACAGGCGGCTTAGGCGTATCAACATCATAAGCATGAATCGAACATGACTCAATTTTGTCAGTTTTAACATAAAAAATATTCACCTATCTTGATACAATACACCATGGTATAAGCCTTTCAAAAACATCGGCGGTAAGCCGCCAGTATAGCGCACATTATACCGGCGGTTGTTTGTCGGTAATTATCATATGGATTTGTTTATTCAACAATATTTTATTTTATTTTACGAGTTTGAATAGTTTTTGTTGGAAAAAACGTATTCTTAATTTTTAATTCTATGATGAAATAACAGAAAAAAAAACATGCAAATCATAGTGACTTTATATATATATATATATATCTGTAGATAAATTCAAGGAAAAATTATGGCAAACATAAAAAGCTATAAAACAAGAAAATTGTCATCTACGTGAATATATACAGTAATTGTAATGTTTCTAACTTTTACTAATTTATTGATGAGCATACTTCTGAAAAATTGAATGTCATTGTCTGCGATTTGAATTCTATTTGAAATTAATTCTATTGATTGAGTTGTATTAAATAGGTCACTATAGCCATGGACTTAATCGGCTCGACATGTATGTTAATGATGTCAGAAGTGGAACAACAGCAAACGATGGTTAGACTTTTTTAAAATAAAGATATAGTTTTCATTAACTATCAATTGTTCAATAGGAAATCCAATAATTCTTAAAGAATCACCTGGAACAGCATTAGTTGATGGACAAAATTTATTAGGACCCTATGTTGGCAAATATTGTATGAATATAGCAATGGAAAAGGCAAAAAAAATTGGTATTGGATTAGTTGCTGCTCGTCGTTCAAATCATTTTGGTATTGCTGGCTATTATTCATTAAAAGCTGTTGATAAAGATCTTATTGGCTGGGCAGTATGTATTTCATTTGTTTGCTGTATGTATATATAAATATATAAATTTATCATTTAAGTTTACTAATACAAGTCCACTTGTTGTACCGACACGTTCAAAATCGCAATCATTAGGTGAGATTCTTTTTTTTTCTTAATGAGAAGAATTTCATAATTATATATATATATATATATTTCTTTTTATAGGAACGAATCCAATGTAATCATAAATTTAATATTCATGATTCATTGTTATAGTTTAATTTTTGTTTTACAGAGCATTTGCTGCACCTGCTGAAAATGGTGATAGTTTTGTACTTGATATGGCTACATCAACTGTCGCATTAGGCAAAGTTGAAATAAGCCAAAGACGAGGTGAGGAAATTCCAAATACATGGGGTGTTAATGCACAGGGTTCGTATTAAATGTTTTCACTTGCTAATTTTTTTTCTCTTTTTTTGTTAAGGTATTCCAGTTACAAAACCACAAGAAGTACGAGGTTTATTAGCTTTAGGTGGTCCCGAAGAATCATCGGGTTACAAAGGTTATGGTTTAGCAATGATGGTTGAAATTTTGTGTGGAATTTTATCAGGTAGATAATATGCTTGTATTGATTAGTGATGATATATATAATTTGTTTTGTATGTGTTGATAGGTAGTCATTTTGGACCATGGATTCGTTCATGGAAAGCAAGTACAACTGAAGCTAATTTGGGACAATGTTTTATTGCTATTGATCCAAATGCATTTGAAGAGGAATTTGAAAGTCGTTTACAAAAATTAATTAATTATTGTCGATCATTACCACCTTCAGGTTAATTATTATAAATTCTATCTCTAAGTTATTGTTTTTTTTTTCAATTTGATGTCTACAGAATCCGGGAAACCAGTTCTTATTGCTGGTGATCCTGAACGAGCCCATATGGCAAAATGTGACAAACTTGGTGGTATTCCGTATCCGTCATCACAAATTGATTTCATACATCATTTAGCCCGCACATTAAAAGTCGATATACCAAACATTCAATAAACTATTCTTCACTTGTTTTTTTTTACGTCAATTGATTTTCTATATTGCAATCAAACCTTAAATATAGTAGTGTTGGATTAACTAATTTCATATGCAAAGTATCACTGTATTTTTTTAAATATCTTCTGTTGTATTGTTTCTTTTTATACAAGAAAGAAAGAAAAGATTTATTGAATGCAACCATTAATTTTTCTTGATAAAAAAACATGAATATTTACTCTTATATATAGATCATCAAAAAACAAAATAAATAAATAAACACATAAAACTTTGTATAGAATATGTCATCTCGTCGTTTATCTCGTAGTCAAAATGTAATTCCAAAACATTATGATGTTCATTTAACAACTGATCTTGATTCTGGTCAATTTTGTGGTTCAGTTAAAATAGATTTAATTATAAAACAACAGGATCAAACATGTATAAAACTTGATGCATCTCATTTAATAATTGATCTATCATCTATTTCATTAATATTAATATCATCATTAACAAAACTTGAATTTACTGTTGAATCAAATGATTTAAATGAAATTCTTGAAATACGTCTTTTAAATGAACAAACATTTTCTTTGGATATTTCATATCGTTTAATTATAAATTCATTTTCTGGTCATATAACAACACAAAATCATATTGGTTTTTATCGATCAACTGTTGATATATTATCATATAATGATAATAATTCAAATGAAATGTCTATTATAAAAAAACATTATGGTATAACACAAATGTCACCAACACATTGTCGTCGTGTATTTCCATGTTTTGATGAACCATCGTTACGTGCTACATTTGATTTAACACTTGATATACCACGAAATATGCAAGCATTATCAAATATGCCACAACTTTATTCACAAGATAATTTATTAAATAGTGGAACAAAACGTATCCGTTTTCAACGAACACCATCAATGCCAACATTTCTTTTATGTTTTGTTATTGGTGAATTTGATATGATTAAAGCTGAACCTGTTGAGCGATTGAACAAAAATAATGGGTAAATTAATAATGAATATTTATTCATGAACTATAAAGTTTCATTGTTTATTTCTAGATTATCTCCAATAGAACTTACAGCATATACATTACCTGGTAGAAAACATGAAGCTACGTTTGCATTAAATTGTGCTCATAAAGCTTTACATTATTATGCTGATTTATTTCAAATTGATTATCCAATGGCAAAACTTGATCTTGTTGCTGTACCGGATCTTTTTTATCCAGCTATGGAAGATTGGGCACTTATTCTTTTTAAGGTTAGATTATTAGATAATCAAAATTAAAATAGTTTAAAACCGATTTTTTTTTGTTCTGAGAGTAATAATGATATTGATTATATTGAACACGAATTAAGAAATCATGTAGACGTTGAAGATTATATTTTAAGAATTTGTTTTCTTTTATATACGTATAATAAATGACTAAATCATGGCTTTTTCTTTATCCAAGAATAGATACGAAGATTTCAAATTTTTGTTTTCGATCTCTATCCTTCATAACTTTTTTCTTATCACGAATTGAAAAAAACGTAAAAAGAAACTATCAATAACATTGAACAACTGTTAATCTAGCAAAGGAAATCTTACATATGATAAATTGATTTTGAGTTGAGACAACGTGTATTATGTAGAATCAAATGAACTATGAATACTCTGAAAAGGGTTTGTGTTCTTAGCTTATTGTTACTGAGATACTGCAATTTAGTGGTAGTTTTTAATTGAATACTGTAGTTCTCCTCAGGAACACGAGAAAAACACTGGTTTTTTGAGTGTCAACTTGAAACTTTACGTTGAGACAGTCCTTAACTAGAATAATGTCTTGTGAATGTTTCAGATTTTGTCGTTGTTTCTATTTTAAGATAGAATTACGGCAACAGCATGTCTTTTACATCGCTAATACATATAACGGCAAAGTCGATGTTCTTATTTCAGGATAGAATTAAATCAAAGGACGTGAAATTTTTACAATAAACTACTCTTGTTAAGATCTATTTCTGTAAAAGATTTCAAGTCGAAATACGAGAATTCGATTTTCTGCTGTTCCTCTGATGTGGTTATATTGTAAATTTGCAGTATCTACCGTAGCATAAGTTCAGAGCCCGAACTCTTCTCAGAATATTAAAAACTCATTTAGGTCTATATAATGTATGTAGCTCCAATTTAAAAGCAACTAGTCCGTTGAAAGACTTCCCTTGTTAGCATTAGCTTATATCTCTATATAACAAAACTATTTTTGAAGTAATAGCTTTTAATAATAAGACAAAAATCAGATAAATTGATCATTACCTAATGTAGTCAAAAGAATCTTTTTATCAGGGTAAACAATTCTTGTTTGCATTCTAAAATGAAATAATAAATCTTATTGCTAAATTCTTCATCATATTTATCTATCTTCTTTGTTTTTAGGAAGAAGAAATGTTAATAAATGAAGATCATGCTGTTAGTATACAATATCGAAATGTATGTCAATCAGTAACACATGAAATAGCTCATCAATGGTTTGGTAATTTAGTAAGCATTCATTGGTGGAATGATGTATATGTTGTTGAAGGTTTATTTTTAATTTAATTTAATTTATTTTATTCTGTAATTAATTTAATATTTATTAATTAGGATTTGCCAAATGGTTTGAATACTTAGCAACAGATTATATCGTTCCTGAATATAATGTTTTTTCAGAATTTTTTTCTACACAATTTGTACGATATTTTGATTATTGTATTAATATTCTTCATAATGAAGCAGATGATATTGACGAAAAAGATTTTTCATTTGAAGGTTTTATTTATTCAAAAGGTTCATGTTTAATGCGTATGCTACATTTATTTGTTGGACAAAATGATTTTCTTGATTCAATTCGACTTTATTTACAACGATATTCATATCGGACAGCAACGGCAATTGATTTTTGGACATGCATTGAAGAAATAACAAAATTACCAATAAGTAAGAAGATTATTCCTTTTTTTTTTTGTATATATTGATTTTCTGCTTTGTTTATATAGAAAAATTAGTTCATAGCTGGTGTACAAAAAAAAGTTATCCTGTTGTACAAGTTAAAATGATTGGATATGATGAAACAACAGGTAAAAAAACAAAGAAGAATTCGATTTCTTTTTTGTTGCATTTAAGAATACCGCCCGAAAAAATCATAAATCTGCTACCTTCTTAGGCTTTACTTTCAATAGTTTAAAAAGATAGAACATGAAATTCTGTACAGTTCTATATATTTATTGTTTTTTTTTTTGCTGAATACAAAAAAAGGTATTTTCGAAGACTAAATACTCTTAGCAAGTCTATCACTTTTGAACATTTTCGATAACAACTATGACAATAATAATTTTTTTCGTTTTTTAACTCAAAATGAAAACTAATTGTGTATATCGATGTAGTTTTTCATGCTCAACAAAATAGTATAGCAATCATGTTCATTAATTAGTTTATCCAGCGGCAGACAAATATGCTTGATACGATTTTCATATCATATAGACAAATTTTCATAATTTTGTAGGATATACTATTGTATTTAGATACCAAATTAATACCAGAAGGTTTTATGATCAAAAACTGCGTTGTCTCATGCTCTGCCAATTTGTCTTATTTTCAGAAAAATCTATTCTGTTCTGAGCCTCAATTTCCTTGAAACATTGTAAGAGAGTGACCATTTCGGGAATACTATATTCAATACAAAACAAATGCGATAAATATTATATATATCTCAGCAAGAATAATTTTTTATGATCAATGTATTCTGAAAAAAACTTAAGAAAAGACTTGCTGAGAGAAACCACATCAGTTTTTTGGAATAAAAAAAATATTTTCGCTGAAATGTATATGACATAACGTATTTTTCTATGTTGATTCCGAATATGGTATTTATTTTATTCTGAGATTGAAATGAAATCAAGATTCAATAGGAAAATGATCGACATCAGCTATTCATATACTCCCAAAGTGGTCATTTTCTTACTATGTTTCAATAAAAATAAGTCTTCTGAAAATGATTTACATTGAAAGGCCATGAGACGGCGACAGAGTTCTCCGTTACGGGATCCCTCGTAGTAAAATGTCCGATTTTCTGCTAATTTTTTACAACGTCATGGTAACTTTGGATAGTTTGATCATAAAGATTTTTAGTAAGGTGCCGGAAATGCAAAAATTGGAGTGAATTTTTTTCTCGTTCGTTTGTATATGATTTGATAGAGCTTGAAAAGCTGATCACGAATATATACTTTTTATTTCGATTTGACCATTGTTTGGCTGAGAGAACCTTAAAAACTAGAAGGATTAAGAAAATACCATTTTTGCGTTGAATTGTTTTTTTTCTGTAGAAATTGTTAAATTTCAACTTCAGTTATTTTGTGAATATTTTGAAAGTATCATATTCTGAATCAGCATGAAAAACTGAATAGAAAAATATTATTTGATTAGATGTATAGCTAATAAGGCTAAAAGAATTCTATCCAATATAAATAGGTCTATCAGTCTAAAAGTATGTGTCAGTGAGCATTCTTGTAAATCTATCTAGTTTTTTGTAACAAGAGATAGAATCAATTACTTTATCTCGTTAGAATCGTCAGATCACGGGTTACAACGGTTACTATTTAGTTTTTTAAATTCTGTTTTATTACTAAAAGAATTGAATATTTTTCCTGTCTAGTGCCAACATGAGATGAAAGAAAAAAAAATGTGTCTGTATTTAGCGTTTTTATTATCGTGGNATTATTGTTGAGATACTGCGTTTTTGCGATATTTTCAACTAAGCACAATGCCGTGCTCCCCATCAGGAGCCGGAAAAACTGATTTTTGAACTTTGACTTGAAACTGTGCACAGAAATAGGCTTCTATGAGAGTAGTTTATTGTGAAAGTTTCAGGTCTTTTGGTTGTTCCTACCCTGAGATACGGCTAAAAAGCATGTTTCTTACATCACTTGTATACCCCCAACAGGTTCTAATGTTCTTATTTCAGAACAGGAACAACCAAAAGATCTGCAACTTTCACAATAAAAAACTCTCACGTAGGCCTGTTTTTGTGCAAAGTTTCAAGGCGAAATTCGAAACTCTTTTTTTCTGGTGTTCCTGAGGGGAGCCACGGTATTGTACTTAAAAATATCGCAAAAATGCAGTATCTCAACAGTAATAAGCTAGCGACCCGAACTCTTTTCAGAGTATTCATAGTTCATTAGGACCTACATTATGCACGTACTTCTGACTCGAAAGCGATTTGACAGTTGGGGACCTTCCCTCGTTAGTTTGAGCAAGTAAAAGCAATGATTTTTATGCATTTGTTTTGAACCAATGGAAATGATCGAAGATGTATTTATTTGAATCGTTTCGATTATTATTGTCTTTTATCAGAGTAGTTCATATTCTTCAATTCTATCATCTATCGTGACTTCTCGACAAAGTAAACTCAATAGATTTATATACATCTGTAATGGTGAACATAGTATTTTCCTTCTTCAAGATGATTTTACTGTATTTGATCTTCCAAAAGAATCATTGATCGTTTTGTTAATGGTACGAATGAGAGTAATTGTTGAGTTTGCCTTCTTAAGAGATGATAGAGTTTTACAAAGATGAATTGATCTGATAAGAAACAGTAATATGTAGTCAATAACAAAATTGAGTTTACAATTGCTTTTTATCATTAATTAGTTGAAATAGTCTTGAAGTTCCGAGTAGACTTATGATGACCAAGCATATCTTCTCGAGAGTTCAATGAGGAGAATGCGAAGACATAAAAACATAAAGAAGTATTTTTAAAAATAAGAGATACAATCAAAATTTCTCTAAGTCACACAATCGATGAAAGATCTAATGCAAATTTCTAAACCAGAATGGGATATTCTTTCTGAACTCACCTCCTTAAATCATATGATTTGATAGTAACGAAATACTACGGAACTTTTGTAAATAATTGTCGACATATTTAATCATGATATTTCATCTAAATAATAATTTTGATATTATTTTATGTAAACAATTTTCGTTTTAGTCTTCAACCAGAATTATATTCTGATAAACAAATAAATGATGATGGTGGTACACATTTAGTTTATTTTATAAATGAAATCTTATCAAAAGCTTCCATGCGTTCTCATGAATCAACTCGTCAATTAGCAAAATTATTACGAACAGATTGGAATGATTTACTTAAAAAACTTCGTTTAGAAAATACATCAGCACGAACATATTCTCAACAATTAAAACATTTATATTTATCATTAGATGAAATGCTTCAATGTACATCACGTCTTGAATATTATATTGGTGATCCAAAAACTCGTCTAAAAAAACATTATAATCGTTATCGTTTTAATCCTCAAATAATTGAAGAAGAACGTACAGATTTTGAACAACAAGCATTAGATTATTTAAAAAAAGTTATTAAACATCGACAACAATTTAATTATTTTCAAGAACAACAACAAGATTATTATCGTTCAATAACAACAACAAATCTTATATCATCACAACGAACAAAATGTCCAATGTGTCATGAGTTATTTGGTGATGATCGACCTGATGTTTGTTTCTTTTTATGTGGACATTTCTTTTGTCATGAATGTACATTACAATGGAAAAAACACGAAATAGATCAACGACCACATCGATCACATATTAAATGTCCTATTTGTATGTGATTATTCTTTTATTTTATTTTAAAATATTCTTTCATTTATATATATATATAGGTCGTCGTGAAATTCCAGTTAATTCTTTAACAGTTCTTAAATGGCGAGATCAAAACGCAACAAACATTACATCATCATTATCATCACCACAAAAAACAACAATAGATAATTCTATATTAGATGATACTTCATCTCCACGTCTTCGTCGTTTAATGGAAACTCAAGAACTTTTAACAATTCAAGGTCGTTATGGTACAAAAGTTGATTCGATTGTTTCATTTATACTTAATCTTCTTAATGATGATATTCAACAGGCAACACCTATTATTACAACAACAATGAATAATCCAAAACCTCCATTAAAAATTCTTGTCTTTTCACAATTTACTGATGTACTCAATGTTTTAGCTATTTCACTTAAACTTAATGCTATTTCTTATTTACAATTTACATCAACGAAAATTCTTCAACAATTTCGACAAGATCCTAATATAACTGTTCTTCTGATGCCACTTGGAAAAGGTTTTCAAATAGATATTTTCTTAAATTATAATATTATTTTGTTAATTTTTATATTTAGGAGCTAATGGTCTTAACTTAACTGAAGCTCAACATGTTATTCTTGTTGAACCTCAAATTCATCGATCAGTTGAATTACAAGCAATTGCTCGTGTACGTCGTCTTGGTCAAAAATATAATACATATGTTTATCGAGTATGTTCAATAATTTAATTATTTGAAAATAGTTTTTCTCTTTTTCTTTTTTAATCTAATTCATAGTTTATTGTTAATGATACAGCAGAAGAAGTTGTACTTGCTAATTCTCGAACAGCGCAAACAATACCAATGAATAATCATCAAACAACAATTATATCCGATCATTCATCAACAAGTCGAGCTGCATCATTTGCTGATTTTGAACTTCTTTATGAAATAAATATGGCACGAAAAATATTTTTTCAATCATCACAATCAACAACAACAACAACGGCAACAAATCATCAATTAGATTCATCTGTATTATAATAATAAAATATATTTATCGAGATATCGACTCATTTTGTTTGTTTTATTACTGTTAAATTTGTACATTGTTTTTTTTTCTGTTTGATTAAATATTTTCAATAAACCTGAATGACATATTGATTTATATCTGTATGCATATGTTTAGGTTAATTAAATGGTTGTTAAAAAAATGTTGCATTTAATACCGATTATTATTTGTTTAAGTGCAATTATTATTTTAATATTGATAATTTATTCACCACCTCGATTTGTAATATTTTCACTTTCAAAATTTTATCCTGACGTTCTATTTCATATTAATTTACCATCTAATCTACGATATATTGCACTTACAATTGATGATTTTCCAAATGTAAATGATCTTTCAGTAAGTTTTCGTTTACTTGATGTACTTCGTTCGTATAATGCACGATGTACATTTTTTACAATTGGATCACATATAGAAAAATATGAAAATTCATCTCAAATACGAATTTTATTTGAACGTTTAATAGCTGATGGTCATGAAGTAGGAAACCATGGTTGGCGAGATGAACAAGCCATACGTCTATCACGAAAAGAACTTGAACAACAAATAGTTAACACAGAAAAAATAATTAATAAATATACTTCACTAAATACAAAATGGTTTCGACCTGGTTCAGGATTTTTTAATCGAACAATGATACAGATTTGTACTAATCTTGGCTATCGACTTGTATTAGGTTCAATCTATCCATATGATCCTCAGATATCTAATTCAAAATTTAATGCATTTTTTATTGAAAATAAATTGTATCCTGGTGCTATTGTTATACTACATGATCGATTAGCGACTATTGAGACATTACAAAGAGTTTTACCAGTTATACAAAAACGCGCATTTCATGTTGTCACACTTACACAACTAATGAATTTGACAACAAGTTAAATAAATTTTCTCTATTAATATTTTAAAATAAACAAAAAATTCATATTTAAATAATATGAAATTTAAAGCTGCTGTTATCTCTGTAAAATTTATTATCAAATTGTTACCCATGAAACAAAATAATTATAAGTATATTCTCGTTATCATATAATATTTTCATTGAACGTATTAAATCGAAAAGATAAAGATAGACTTTTTACTTGTTTCAAAATTATTCTGTTTCTTGTTGATAAAATCAAATAGCTATTAAATCTTTATCATTAAGATCATTATGAAATATTTGTGAAAGGCCGAGAAAAAAAAAAATTATTTTTCATAGACAGAAATTTATTAAGAACTTGTAGAATATTAAATGAACAAGAATTGTAAGTTAAATCAATCAACAATATCTAATTTAAACACATTAAAAAGTATACAAATCACACGAACACAAAAGTGCTATTGATATATACTTGATATATGAAAAAAGAGAAAGATTCAATTGATTATAATTTAAACATATCAATAGTTGATCCTTTTTGTTTTAAATGAAAACAAAGAGCAATTAATGCACTTGCACTCAATCCACAACAAACATCTAATGCAATAAATGAACCTTGTTGTTGTTCATTGGTAGGCTTATGATTTATAAAAAAATATAAATGAATAATAAAAATGAATTGTAGACCAATAAAAAGAGCCAAAAATTTTAAAAATAATTTTAAGCGAAAATAATCATGATATAAAAGAACATAAATGCCAATAGCACAAATAACGATTGCTAGTATACCAATTGACAAGCCAAGACTGACAACAAGAAGAGATAAATGATGAAAATAACCTATATTAACACCAACCACTGCAATACCACTTAAACCCATAAGAGTCAACATTATTTCCGCTATAAATGACGTTGAAGACGTCAAAGTTATCATTTTTGTATCTTCTTCCATTATATTACTTTCGAATAGTTTGAATAATGTCTTCTGTTCAATATTTCAATAACTACAAATCTCTATGGCAACGGGCAACTATGTAACTACGTTCAACTAGAAATGAACAACGAGTAAAAAGTGAATAAAAGAGTAAAGAAAAGAAAAAGGATTGAAATAGTGTATAAAACAAGTGAACTGTGTTCAATGATCATACCCGAGAGGAAGAAAAGAACAGAATGAAATATAAAATTAACTTGTCTCATAGTGAAATTCATGTTCATAACTTACAACAGCAATTCAAAATTTTGTTTATTTTATATGTTTAGTCGTAATCATTACTTTCTTTCATTTGATTACACAATAAAAAGATTAATTACTCACAATAGTTATTTAGGATCAGTTGCATAGTATTGATGACTTGTTTTTATTTTTTATTATTTATTTCTGTGTTTACATCAATGAAAATGATTGATAAATATCAACCTAGCAGAAAGGAGTTAATTAATGATGATTGACATGGAATAGATTCAGTTTTTTTTCCTTGATTTTCAGAATCTGGAATTTACTTTATACGAGATAGGTCAAAAGAAAGGAAACACAATTTTTCTGTTTGATTTCGTCTCTATACATGAATAATTAAATCCCTTATTTATACTCCATATACTATGTAGTGGTAGTCAAAAGAGTAGTACATATTATTAATCTATGGATCCAACGGTATGTTTTAAAACTGCATCGATATATCTTGTATACTCTTTTATGATTATAACAAAACTAACTTTGTTTGTTGTCGAATTTTATTTTCGCTCTATTGTCTGATTGTACCGATTTGCCGAATAAATCGGATTGTATTATTGTTTTTTGAATTTCTTTAAGATAAAACAGTGCAATGTGATATAAGTATAGTTTATTCTGCAAATCGATAAAATCCGACGAAAAAGGATAATCAAATTCGACAACGAAGCAATAATTCTTGTTTCAATCACATAGGAGTATACAAGATACATTGATTCGTTTTTGAAATAACCTATTGAACCCAGAGACTGATATTATGCTACAACTTTGACTACTACTACGTAGTATGTGTTACAAATAATAGATTTTATTATCATGTATAGAAATGAAATTCAAAACATTTTATATTTTCTTACTTTTGGCCCATCCTTTTATTCTTTATTATTTCTCTTCATCCTGCAATATAAACTTTGAAATATAGTACATTTGGTCATACGATGCCAAATTAAATTAATGATTAGTAATAAATACAAAGTAGAAAAATAAATTCAAGCTAATTTATTGAGTTTTTGAAAAAAGTTCTATGTAGCCTATTTTTAGAAGTAATCATTGAAGTTTGCCAAAGATAAATATTCCATTGTTCTATAGTTCATCGAGAACTAATCTCGGGTTCTTCAAATCCATCTCCAAAAACAGTTGGTGATACATGAACACCATGTTTTCTTGCCCATTCAATATAATATTTAGGATCAGTTGAAATTACAATCCCGGACATACGTTGTTCATTTGTGACGATTACTAAATACCACAAATTAAACCTTTTAGGAAGAAACTATTTTTTTGAAAAAAACAAAAACAAAAACATCTCAGTATCATAATCTCGAAAAAAATTTAGCACGTATAAGCCTACATTGCAATCTGAGCATTCGTATCTGGTGTAGGTGAGTGTCTTCTCTTCATGCACATGTACGTGCCACGTCTTCATCACACCCTCACGTGCGTGCGCGAGAGAATGAATCATGAAGATACAGTGTGATACGTTAATGCAGTATAGAAAATGGGACATGGCCAAGCAAGCCACATTAGATGTATATTCTTATGATGAGCATACTCTTACGCCTACGTAATTATTTATGGATCATCAATGAACAGTATATTTCACTGTAAAAAAAAGAGACTGTGTACATATGGTGTACTACCTATCCTGAAAGAGTTGATCTATAAATGGTAGACACTGTTACTATTTATACAAGAAATATTTATAGCATACTTCTCAACATAGAATATTGATCTTAGTTACATAACAGATAAAAGGATTCTTTCTTATTGTACCAAAATACAGTATGAGTTTAATAAATGACGATCAGATTGTTTGAATTGATTGGATGTAAAATGGCATAGTTGAAATTATAAACTACATTACAAATTTTGCTCCTTTTTCAAAGTAAATATTACTCGTTCGTTTTAGTACTAAAAGATCAAAATGAAGAAATGGAAGTACTTTCTCTATCTTTGTTTATGTGATACATGCAGTATATATATATATATCCTGTAGCATAATTCATATAGGTCTAATCTTTGCTATAAAAACTAACAGTATATGAAGAAGCACAATTAATATAAATGAGAGAATTATATTAATATCATCTTTGAAAACATAGATAAGAAGCGGTTTTTAACCATGAGTTAGCTTTTGAATAATTAACAAGTTTTAAATGTTCTATTAATAAATATTTCTTCAGCGTTCTACCGTTTTCAACTGATCGGTCGACGAAAATATCAAGAAATGGTTATTTCTAGAAACAGAATCGTGAATTTTAATAATTTATTGTTTATAACTGTTGTTGCTATGATTGATGAAATCTATTAGAATTTTTTGTTTTCAAGGATCAAAGGATTGTCATTTCTTTGACGATGACATCGACTATTTTGTTTAACATATTTTTAAAGTAGAAGTATGAGTCAGTATTTGATTAGACTCATCATTCTATCAGTTCTTATTAACATCCTGAGTACTCTCATTAATTGAAGTGATACGAAAACGTACAATTTCGTGGAATGATCGTATTTCGTTGGACTAAATACTTGCAGGTAGATTATAGTTCGCGCTTTCGAACAGAAACGTTGTGCTGTTAGATTCTAAATGAACTCTTACTTTACACACTATTGCTCAACAGTATTTACATTTCCAATATGTTTTCTTATTGTAAGTTTTGTCAATTGTATAGTTGTGTCCGTTCAGTATCAACAATATAGTAGACATTCTTGTGAGACGAATCAGTCTGTTCGAATACTTCAATTCTTTTTTTCTAGCATGTAGTTTCTATCAGACATCGGCATAATATGGTTTCTTTACTAGCTATAGCACTCGTTTAGTGTTGATGCTTTATTATTGTTTGGATTATATATCTTATATGAAGCCAAGATATTTAAAAATCTTC